ATTCCTATTATAGAGATAAATTATTTAATTTCATAAAAATAAAAGAGAATATAGAAAAGAGAATATAGAAAAAAATATAAGATGAAATTTTTTTTAATTTAAAAAAAAGTCAACTTCGAAATTTCAGGTCGATTTCACGATTATCTCTTTTAACTAGTCTTATCTCTCAGAGATACTTTGTGCATTTTGAACTGGAGACGAATACGAATCTTTGCATTTTGTGTGTCATTCAATCTCTCTTACCACTCATTAATACAAAGAGTGACCGAAAAAATCGCCCGTTTTTTGAGCCCTTGATTTTGGAACTGAAACTGTGTGATAAATTTTACCTTATATTGAAACATTAATCACAGATAAGTTTGAAATTGAGGTGACAATTATTATCAGAGTTGGGAGGGACGGAATCAAAGTGCATTATCAAATTATCATTTTTAGGTCCATATTTTAAGAAGGTTGCTCCAGCTGGGTGTATATCAAGTATATCACATTACTAATTAACTAATTTAAAATAATATAATCTCATTGGTGAAGCAGTTAAAAACTACTAGGAACCAACCGATATGAATGGTGTGAGCAATTGGACTATATGCAAATGCACCGTTCCCAATCCAGCCGATGACGATAAGATCAACCGAACATCACACTTATTCTAGTGATTTTATAAATCAATTTGTTTTGAATGTAAAAAAACAGATTTTCGCAGATTTTCAGATTTTTAGATGTAATACGTGATCCCCCCCCCCTTTTCCAGTTATAACAATTATCATCTCAACCTGAAACTTCTTTGTAAATAATATCTCATTATAGGCACACAGTTGTGATTAATATTATTTGGCAGTTTAATCCAAAAATTGAGGACACAAAAAAAAGATGAAAAAAATCACCTTTTCTCGGTCGTTCTTTAATTCTAATCTTAATCGATTTTATCTTAATCGAACTTTATCGCTGATCTATTAAGTTAAGAAGTACGTCGGTTGAATCTCGGGTCTCATCAAAAGATCTTTGGTGAAATGGTCTCTCTCACTAACTTCTATATCGAAGCTAAAAAGATTGCCACGAAAATCATGGCCAGCAGATGAAGGAAAATGAAGAAAAAAGATCTCGAAATATCAAAGCAAATAAAATTCTCATGAAAAAATAAGGAATGCAATGCGAATCGTGCACAAAGAATCAAGTGCTGTTAGCAAGCTTTCTGCTTCATAAGAGTCATCTCTTTTCATAATTGATTAGGCGTTTGGAAAAAACGGATAAACTTATGAAATATAAATACGAAACTACGACCGCGTGCATGATCATGAACTTTCCATCCGTGTGACATGTATTGTAATGCTATAATAACAAGCGTGGCGCAATAACATATTAGGTATGAAAAGTATACGCGTTTATAATAGCAGTATAGTCGAAACAATAGTTGTCTGATTACTAATCAATCACAACATTTTTAAGTTACTGACTGATAAAAATCGATGCTTTAATATTATTAAATTTATGTTTAATAAATATATTTAATAAAAAGAAAGCCATAATGAGTCGCATGAATCAACAGTAAATTTTTTTTATAATAAAGATAAAGGTTTTCAAAAGTGTAGAAATAATTACACAGGACAACAAAATTTTTTAAAGTTGTTTTAAAAATATATATTGATTTTATAGGAATTTAATGATCCAAATTCGAAAAAAAAATCTCGCTCCATCGCTCACAATTCTATTACAACAAAAATTAACTCTTAAAATATATTTCAAATATATTTAAAATAGATTATAAAAACTTTATAAAAATTGTATAATTCGATTATTTATGTTACTCGATTATATAAATCTTATGTAAAAGGCTTAATAAATTCCTTCTTCTTTTGTCAGAGAAGTAGCTTTTACTTTTGTGTCTTTCTTTTCGATTTTCACGGTGCAGCATCCAGCAATGTTTCATTCCCGTGGGAGAGTAAATAAATTTTTTCACCGTGCAGTATTAAATCCACATTTATATTTTATAGAGTATAAAAAAAATATACAGTATAAAAAAAATTAACGTGTAAATTAAATAACTGCGTGGTACAATATTTTTATTGTATTTTTAGAATTTAACACTTAAAAATGTATCAAAAATATAATCAGAACATATTAAATCAAAAAGAAATATAAAAGGTATTTCTTTACATTAGGGGACATTTCTTCGATGATCTTACCCTTAACATACATATGTATGTCATAGAGGTAAGGGTACTGATCAACTTTTCCTTATAAATTAATCGGCGGTCTCTAGTTTTCAAGATATATTTACATAAAACTCATTTTCAAAATTTCATTATTTTCTGTATATCGCGCGACTTCCAGGCGAAGCGACCTCCCCCCCAACTCTGCTTCAGGGGCGTCCAACTTTCATTTCCCTTGATAGCAGGGAATCATTTAGAATATTAAGATGAAGATCTAAATATCTTAGAAACTATGTATAAACTTAGAAACTAGTTGTATGATCAGTATTTCACCTTTACAACATATGTCCAGATTAAAATCATCGAAGAGATGTCCGTAATGTAAAAGTTTATCATATAAAATTGACAAAGCGAAATATAATAAAAAGATTATAGTCTTAAAAATATACTGCCTCTTTTTTTCCTCTTTAAGGAGATTCCACTATTACTTTGGAATCAAAAATGCGACTGACATAAATTGTCATTACAACAATTTCAAATCATATATAATATTAGTGCAATGAATTGTGGATACTATTCATGTGCTATATTTTTAATAAATTATTAGTGTATAAAATATTAACAAATGTATGAGATTGTCAACGACTCGAAAGATCGAATGTATACTTAGCAACGTTGCACTTTGCGATGATGCAGACAGTGATCGGCTATAACGAATAATAAGGGAGAAATTCAGAATCGGTATAAAGGCTGATTTTGTATTATTTTCATATCTATTTCTTTACGTCGAGATGGATTTTAGGTTATAAAGTTGGCTTCGTATCAGCACTACGGCGTTGCCAAGTTTGTTACTACTAATGCAATCCGTGAGAAAAAGGTAAACTTTGTGACAATAAAGCTTTAATGAGCAAAATCCGATTTTTCTTTTTTGTACACAATTGTTGATATTTCATCAATTATTGATATGTCAACTCCTAGTTTTTCAAAGTCCTAAGTTGGCTGAGTGTGTATTAAATCGGTAATTATCTATTTTGGAACGACCGCCTCCCATAAGGCGATATGCTTAAAATGATCAATTTCAGAATAATATTAAGAAAAATATACGGTCAATATTGTTCAAATTGTGAGATTATTTGTATATACAGTATTTATTTACATTATGTAAAAAAATTTAATCTTTAGTTGGTTTTCAACTAACAGTCCAAACCTCCTTAACGGCATTTTGCTCAAAATTGTGACACGATAGCCAAATTTAGACAACGTATTAAGCAGGTAAGAAACATTAGAAACAACTAAAAAACAATTTTGATTAAAACAATTTTGCCCATGTTGCCCTGTGTCATTAATTAATAATAATTATATGATGTTATTAATAATTATTCTTATTAAACTCTCCGCGAACCAGGTAGGGTGACATATCCCCCCCCCCCAGCAAGATGAATTTCTTAAAAAGTGCCGCGCGCATGTTGCCCGTTTTGTGTAACTGGAGAATGCGTTATCAATCATACGAATCGTACTAATTAATATAGCATGAGATATGAGATATACCTACATATAATTCATGTTTTCCATCTGATTCGCGGAGGTTAAGAATGTAATAAAACAGAATATAATAAAAAAAAAAGATTATATGAAGCTCTATGTATTCACACGACTCTTTTCTTTTTGCAATCATTTGTGTCGCTGTTGTTTGTGAATCTAACCGAAAAGATATAGAATAATATTATGGCAGTTAATAATAACTAAGAATAGAACGAAACGTCGCGTGACCCTGCAGAAAATGTATATATAATAGATATTATCGAGAGGGAGTACAAAAGAAGTATTGTCACACCATTCATTAATACAAATAGTAACAGCGATAAGCGATAGTGTAACAATGTATACACAGGATATCCTAAAATTCGCAACTCAAAATACAAAAAAGTTTTCGAAAAATTAAATAAAAAAGTAATTTGTATATAAATTTTTATTTTAAGCAGAGTTTTTGAGTATGTAAGGAATTAAATATAACTAATTATAATTTACGTTTAGATGATCACCTGTGAGTCTTAGTGAACGCGCTGACCACACTCATTAATATTATTATACACCATACACACGACTCATGGACAGGTGACTATCTAAACATAATCTGTAACTGACTGTATAAACCTCTCAAAATCCTCTTATCTCAAAAAATACCGTCTAAAATAAAAATTTATAAATAACACTTACATAAGAATTTTATTTTAGACCGTACATGAGAACACAACCAATATAAACTAGAAATTAAATACCTATACCGGTCGAAGGCTGGAGCTTTTAAATAATTCAATGTGAATTATATATATTATATGTATATATACATGCATATTTTCACTTTTATTTAATTTTTCGAGAATTTTCTTGCGTATAGTATTCAAATCGCGATTTTTTGAGACACCCTATATATATATTTATTTATTTATTTATTTATTTATTTATTTATAAATACAGGCAGCGGGTATTCCTCCAATCTTCTTAGAGGTCTCTAACAACTATAACAAAATTGAAGCGAATTATTTATGCGATAACTAGTATAAAAACTAATGTGTCTACTTGTCGCGTAAGGCAGAACTTATCTATATATCGCACGTTTAATATTAAAATAAATCCTCCAATGCGAATCATACAATAATGTCAAAATCAGATTTTTTGAAAATCTAATATTATTGTAGACTATTATTAACAGAATTTTCTCTTTCTACAAATTTATAGTTGTAGGAAGTGTAAATTATTTTAGAAAAAAGATAAAATCTTAAAAAAATAAATTCGTTAAAAAGAGAAAAATAAATTATTTAAAAAAACATAAATACAAGAATAGCTTTGTCAATACTTTATATAATTTTAACGTTAATTGCCAATTTCATTTATCTATCCTGGTGAAATTTGGTAGAGAATTTCATGATTTACACTTAATAATGTCTCAATTATATATATTAAAATATTTACTATTTTAATAATAATTTTAAAAACCAAAGAAGCATTACTTCGTGTCTCTCATAGGAGGATCTTAAAATGGAATAAAGCTGTGTAGAAAAGATAAACAATCAAGACGCGATACGAAATTAATCCGTAATTAATCCTCAAATACTGAGATTGGTCCATGGGTCACGCGAAAAAAAAGAATGAACGCCATATCTTGTCTCATTTTCAGTACTTTCATAAAGACTAAAGATTTATAACGATTAATTGATTAACCTGGGAGTAGCCGCGTCTCGAAACTAACGTTAGTAGGTGTGTCTTGATCATTTTGACCAAAATATATTTCCGCACATATATGTGTTGTAACTAGAATACATATATGATCATAATTACTATAATAATTAATAAGAAAATGAAATTACAAACACTAATTACACTAACGTAAGTGAGTTTACCTATTGTGTACTGGAATGGACATGTTCCATCTCGATTTGGGTGTTGCGTCATCCCTAATTTTTGTCAAGCTGTCGAGCTTTTTCGTGATTGTTTTCTTTTTTTGATTTGTTATCTGCATTTTTGAATTAGTTTATGGCCAGATCGCGACCTGACTGCGAGAGCCAATAAAAGAAGAAAAAAGATGTAAGTGCGCGCGCTATGGTCTTTTAGACCGAACATTGATAAACATATCCAATTTTATGTAGATATAAGCGTGTTTACATCATCTATTTTCGCATACTATACGAAAAACATTAACAAACATTTATGTAAAAGTAAAAATATAATAGTGCCAATAAATTGAAAGATATAAATAGAAAACGGAAGAAACGGAAGAAATGACTTATAGCGCGATCACTTCCAGGTTAATAAAACATAGATTTATAGAACATAGATTTATAAAACTTTTATCTCCTTAAGATTTATCTCCTGTGTTATTTCAGTTTTTTTTTAATCGATATCTCAGACCAACCTCAGTAAGTGTCACTATTTTTTACCTCAATAACCTTAAGAGTTAATAGCGTTTGCCACTGGTACACATTGAGTGCAATTGAATGCAAATCAATTCATATATTTTCAGCGTTAATAAATAATTTAATCCTTTTAATTACATTGTTGTCACGAAAACTTCATAAAACTTCATAAAAACTTAAAAGGACTAAATTATTGATTAACACTGAAAATATAAAAACCAATTTGCATTCAATTGCAACTGGTAAAACTAGTGTTGCACTAGTTTTACCAGTGGAAAATGCTATAAGTTGATTGCCTTCTGTCTTCTGCAAAAAATTGGCATTATTGATAGCGCACGTATTGAAACTTGACTAGAACTAACAAACTTGTGGAGAAATAAACGTATATCATTCTTCCCCCTTCTCTCTCTTTCTCTCATTTTTCCATTCTTTCTTTTTATTAATCTCATCAATTTTTCTGCCATCTTTCTCGCAAGACTGGGCAGTATTTCGAATGCTAATTAGCGACTGCACATCGAGAGTCACGCTCTGTATTTTGTATTCTTAATCATATTCTATTGTTGAATCACATCTGTATACCTTCCGAAATATATCTTTCAAATATTTTTCATAATGATATTTTGAATTTAGAATACGATATTTATCGCATTTGTATTTGATATATGATGTCGCTACGCTTGTCTTAGAACCTAGACACTACCGATTGCGATGTCTAAATCGTAATCGAATATTTTGCCCAGCCCATTCAATTTAAATCACGAACATAATTTTCGTGTCATCGCGCGTGGAAAAAACACATCACATATATCGCATGTATTACAAACTTTCTCCCAAATATGAAAAATAAAAATAGAAAAAAGAAGGATCATCTCTCTATAGCCGCAATATTACAATTCACAGCGAAATCTAAATATTGTGTAAACGAAGTGCTCGCATGTATCTCGAATTGAATAAGACTATCAGTCTCTTTTTTCTTTTAGAGGAGGAATCAGTGCACGCGTGATATGCGTAATACATCATAATAATTTAACTCTACATTGTGTGTTGAAGAACATATAGATACGCAACACGCACACAATCGTTAGTATTATTATTGTGACAGATCGTAAAATAACGACGTCGCGCATTGTTACAGAAGACGCTTCCTTCCGAAGGTTTTCCCGCAAATGAAGCTGATCGAATTTTATCTCATCTTTATTTTAGTCAAAACAGAACATCCTGTAGCAAATGCCAGGATAATATGCATTAACGGGATCTCGGAAGTTTTCGGGATCGGTCATGAATTGTGCGAATAATCATGATGTCTCCTTCGTTACTTAGCTTCAATTGCGATTCGCAAGAGCGAAGTAGTTCAAAGTTACAGACCATATCTCATATACTTGGCAGAAGAATGAATTATCATACCTATACAAGTATATCCATTCCTTCCTGTGTGTCTCAGCTTCGCTGTACAGCCATATGCAGGATACCGACAAGAGCATTCGTGTCTGTGTCGAATTTCGATATTAAAACTTTGTCACACTATGACAATATGCTCTGGCTAAATCGTTAGGTTACCAATAAAAATAAGCTTCTGTAACGGTGTTTCGTGACAATATCACGCACTGCACTTTAAGGTTTTCACCAACGATGTCGGAAATTCACGTAGTAATACCACGATGAGTCGATTTTTAGTTAATCTCCAGTCAATGCTCTTCTTCCACACTTAACTAATAGTCAGCACATGTAAAATTTGCGAACATATTATGTACAAGTAGTCTTTAGATCCGCTTTGTGCATCGCGATCCACTTTCCGTTTACACGATGATGATAATAGTGATGATGACGATGACATTAATGATCTTTATCGACGTTTATTCATCTTTGGTTGAGGCAATGTATGCTTATTTGAACGTTCGTGGATCGCCGGACACTTGTCACGGAACTTTTTCGCGCACATGTCCGCCAAAACAATATTTAGAACAATTTAGTCTCGCTCTTGCTGCTTTTCAAACATTATGCTGCCGTTTCATCATCGGCTAAATTGTGAAGATCCGAGTAATTCACGATGGCACGATGAAGAAACTCATATTGCGCCTAACAACACGTACAATGATAATTATTATACACAAAATACAATTACAATATATAATACAATAATATATGATATAATATAATAAATACGATAAATAATATTTAATTGTAATCCTCAAACTTGTAATTTATTTATTTATTTTCATCGTAAATAATTGAAAAAAAGTTGGATGACAGAAAAAATATATATAGTATATACTTTACATATTTCAATGTTGTAATACAATATTAACTGTTATTGTCTACTTTTTAAATAGACTAGCCAACTTTTTATGTCAAACTTCGTAGATAATACTGAATTCTTTAAATAAAAAGACAAAGGGCTACGAGCCTAAAAAAATCATCATAAATTAACAAATTTATATTAAATAGTTAAAAAATAAAATAAAACATGTTATGAAATTAAAAAACATGAAATTTAATTTGAGTCAGCAAGTAAACAACACAAACGTTTCGATCCCTGTTGGATCATTTTCAATGTGACGCAAACATAACAATGGAAATGTTACATACATAAAATATATAAAAATTAATTAAAAATTCGCTCTCGGACGTAGTATCAACTATAAATCTCGCTCCAAAATAAAAAGAAAATTATACAAAAGTTGTAGTTGACAATAATGTGTTCCTCCGAATTGTGTATATAGAATATAGGACGATGTTTCTGTTAGCAAGTACAAAATGTAATAATAAATTACGACAGATAAAAATAAAAATAAGAAAAGTATAAATCGAGTCACACATAATTAAAAAAAAAATACAAATAAGTCAATATATAATAAATAAGTCATACAAACAAGTAATAAATTTAAATTAAAAGAAAGAGGCAAAAATTATTTTTGATATTATAAGACATGTACATAAGAGTTATTAATGTCGATAGAGAAAGTGTAAAATGCCGTCATTCATTATATATATATATATATATATTTAGTACAGATAAGTTGAGAATAAATACCTTATTATGTGTGTCAAAATGATGTGTTATCGATTAGACAATGCGATAAGAATTGAAAATTGATCATCTCTCTAGGAAGCTAAGAAATAAAGTAAAGTACATATATAAAGACAGGAAAGTTGAAATGATAAACTAAAAAAGAAGGGGAATATAAGAAGGATAAAATAAAGTAGAGGGGAGAGAAAGTGGGGAGAGAAGAAATGGATAGGAAAAGAATGCAGTTAAGAAGGAGAAAGAGATTGAATGATCTGTAAGTAGGTTTCAGATTTAAAGATTCGGTATCATTTTGTCTATTAAGACCCTGTTTCTGTCTTTTAATATGAATCATTTCAGACACCAATCTCAAGAAGATTCACAGTCTAAAATTTTCACATCGTTCCATTTAAAATTATAATCAAAATTAATTCGATGATCAGTTACGACAGTAGGAGAACCCGTATTCCTAATGTCAGAGATATGTTCGCGTAATCTCGTACTCAATTTTCTTTTTGTCTGACCAACATAACTCGCCTCACAATCATCACAGGAGATCTTATAAACAACATTCTGATTGGATAGGAAATCAAGCTTATCTTTTCCTCTTTTTATAAAACTTTTTAATGTATTTTTATTATGGAGCGAGATTTATAATTGATATTGTGTCCGAGAGCGAATTTTTAATTAATTTTTATATATTTTATCTATGTAACATTTCCATTGTTATCTTTGCGTCACATTGAAAATGATCTAACAGGAACGAAACGTTTGTGTTTGTTTACTTGCTGACGATCAAATTAAATTTCATGTTATTTCAATTTCATGTTTTTTTAATTTCATGATATGTTTTATTTTATTTTTTAACTATTTAATACAAATTTGTTATTTTATGATTGTTTTAGGCTCGTAGCCCTTTGTCTTTTTATTTTAATTTATTGAGCCTTTTTATTCTAATTTATTACTTTTATAACTAAATTAATAATAACACGATATGGAAAATATAGAGATGAATATGAAAAAAATTATAAAAATTATGATACTTACGAAGGTGCTGATCATGCCGTGTCGCTGAGAACGCAATTTCTTCGTCGTTGTGAAAATATCTACGCGCTTCTCAGTGCGTAATTGCTGGACCAGTATGCTAAGAGCCACGAACATTGAACTCCGATCTGATCCGTAACTGCAGTGCACGACCAGCGAGCCGCTCGTCTCGGTATCGTTCGTCAATGTCTGATCTACCAACTCAATAAGACCGCGCGTCACCTCAGGTACTTCACCCTCCACCGTTGGCCAGCCATGATATTGATACTGCTTTACGACTCCACTCTCGTCAGTTTTTGTGTTCAAAATGCAAAATTCGCGACGCGTGTAATATGGACAACTTTCACTATGGATGTAACGAACCCTTATATGATCGTAATCGGTTTCATCGTCAGGCCAATAGCGTGGGCACTTCCGCGGGCCTTCATTCAACTGGAAACGATGTTACTTATTTATTTTATAAACAATTATATTCATTCTGGTGCGTGCCTAATCCATTCTTCTTTCAAAAATATCCATGCTTATTTCTTATTATTAAGAATTATGATTTTCGGGGACCCTGACACTTTTTTCACCCGATTATAAAGAATTGTATGTATTTTCTTTCGTTAAAGACTCAAAAAAATATTGGCATATATATTATTAGAAAATTGACATTGATTATTCAAATTATTTAAGATATTATTGTATTGATTAAATTATATAAGAATATACTGTTCATATGTACAAAGCGATGTCCATAAAAAAAGTTTTCAATAAAAAAAATATCACCAACTAAAAATTTGTTGTATGAAATTGCATACCATGTATATCATATTAACGCAATATTCATACAATTTCATTTTTTCTACAAATTTAATTTTCAATAAATTCAACAAAATCATCATCAAGTATCATTAAAAGCTACAAAGGATGAAGGGAAAAAATGGGTGCTTTCCAATTGCTTAACAGCTTAATACAAACGTACATAAGAATGCACAAAGTGTAACATTGTGCAGGATTCAATTGGAACAGAATGTGTATGCTGTGCAGTTGAGATTCGAATAGAGTTAGATTAAATGTAGCTTTTTCCGCCTGTATTAAACAAAAATAAATAAATAAATAAATAAAAATGCCGGCCACTCAACGTTCTCCAATCTTATTTATAGCCGCCGTAGGTAGTAACATGTAATTGTCAGTAGAAAAAATGTTGTAGAAAACACAAGTTTACACAGCTCTCGACTGAGTACAGATGTGTAATGTTGTGTCGACGATAACAGACAATTGGAAAGCAACTTGTGTTACCGTGTGCACGAAAGTGTCTAGGGATATTGCAATTGAAAAGCATCCTATATATAATATATAT